TTTTCTTTTTTGGAAGAAGAAAGGTACTCTTGTCTCCTTAATTGTTCTTAGTGTTCTTTGTCACCAATCATGATATTCTTTGTGGAAAGTATTAATATACCATCTTCCTGTGTTCAATATTCCCATTAACAATAAAAAGTCTAATGAAAATATCTGCATGAAAAGCCCTGAGCACTCATTTCAGAGACAAATAAAAGATGAACCAATAAGTATTTCTTTGAAAATGAATGATGCAAATTAATTGATATCTTAATGAGCTTTCAGCATGAAGATTATTAGTTAGATGGAATCCGAACTGAATATCATCTTTAAGGAAACGCTAAGGACACTGCAGTGGGGGAGAAAGATGTTATCTGTCAGTTAGAAATCTCTCCTGCTCAATGAGAACACTTCAAAGAGGGAGCGAGCCAAGTGAGACAGCATGCCTTAGGTATCAGTCTCTGCCTGTCCCAGCCTGGCCAGGTTTGGAGACTGGAGCCTAGTCCTGTTCCTGAATTGATGAACACCCACAGGTATAGGAAGTTCCACCCCAAGCCAGTCCCTGGGGCCTTCCTAATACCACCACTGTGCTATGGATTCCTTCCTTGGTCTCTAGAATGGAAGCCCTGCGAGGGCAGAGCCTTCCTCGATTTTGTTTGCATTTGTGATGCCAGTGCTAGCCTAGCTACCTGATTGAGAGCAATAATAACAACAGAATAACAGCAAATAACAATACAGAGCTTACTCTGTGTTCTGGGCATTGTTCTGAGCACTTTCCTTAAAATAACTCACTTGAAGCCAAGCGCGGTGGCTCATGCCTGTAATCTCAGCACTTTGGGAGGCTGAGGCAGGTGGATCACGAGGTCAGGCATTTGAGACCATCCTGGCCAACATAGTGAAAACCCGTCTCTGCTAAAAATACAAAAAAAAAAAACCCAGGCATGGTTGTGGGCACCTATAATGCCAGCTACTCGGGAGGCTGAGGCAGGAGAATTGCTTGAACCTGGGAGGTGGAAGTTGCAGTGAGCCAAGATTGCGCCACTGTACTCCAGTCAGGTGACAGTGTGAGACTGTCTCAATCAATCAATACATATGTACATACATACACAACTCACTTGAGCTTTATAACAACAGTGTGAGGTGGGCACTACTAGTATCTCTAGCTTACAAATGGGTATATTGAGACACAGAGAGGTTGAGCAACTAGCCCAAGATCACACAGTAATAATGGTAGATTAGGAATTCAATCCACAGCAGTCTGGCTCTGGCTACAGAGTCCTTGCTCTTAACCACCGCGCTATACTGAATAGCGTTCAATATATACTTCTTGAATTAAATGAACAAAAGAGTCCCATGAATGAATGCCTGGTCCCTATGACTGAGCATGTCTCTAACTCCTAGGCTTTATTTAAGTCATCCAAAGTTCCAGAGCTTTATTCTATTCCTCAGTAGACCATGCCAGTCACTCTCTGGAGTGGAGGTGGCAGGGGAGGTGCCACGAATGACTCTTGTATTCCTAAAAACTAGTTGCTGTCCTGTTTCAACCCAGATAGCCTTTCAAAAAATTGTCCCTGGACAGGGAAAATGTGGCACATATACACCATGGGATACAATGCAGCCATCAAAAATGATGAGTTTGTGTCCTTTGTAGGGACATGGATGAACCTGGAAACCATCATTCTCAGCAAACTGACACAAGAACAGAAAATGAAACACTGCATGTTCTCACTCATAGGTGGGTGTGGAACAATGAGAACACATGGGCACAGGAAGGGGAGTATCATACACTGGGGTCTGTCGGGGGGAAATAGAGGAGGGACAGTGGGGGGTGGGGAGTTGGGGAGAGATAGCATGGGGAGAAATGCCAGATATAGGTGATGGGGAGGAAGGCAGCACATCACACTGCCATGTGTGTACCTATGCAACAATCTTGCATGTCCTTCACATGTACCCCAAAACCTAAAATGCAATTAAAAAAACTGTCCCTGCTGAGGGGTTCCTATGGCCACAATCTTGTCTACCATCCAGTTAGATCTGGCCACCTAATATCAAGGTCAGCTGAAGTTCCACCAAGTTTGCAGCTGTGGTCACTGTGAACCATGAGGCCATGGTCACTCAGTGTCTGCAGAGTCTCTGTGGCAGGCTTTCCTACTGAGGCTGCTTGGGTAATGATGATATCTAGGGTGTAGTATTATGGGAACCAAAAGACTTACCTAGTGTGTTTTATTTAACAAGATAGTATTCCCTGGGGACAGTTCTCTGGAAGCATCTACCCATAAGGGGTAGTTAGAAATAGAACCCCGGGAGTGAGCCAGGGGCTAGTGGAGGGAACCACGGAGATGACGTCTTCCATGGTATAGAGGGCACAGTGCTCCTTTTCCTAGTGGAGTTGATGGGAGAGATGTGATGTGACCCAGGCCACATGGTACGGCAGGAAAGGTGTGTGACTTAGGGTTAGGGGCGCAGATTAAAGACTCATCTCTCTAACCCACCAGCCGAAAGATGGCATCATTCAGCCTTTCTGGACTTCGCTTTCCCCATCTATAAAATGAGGATTATGTGTATTTCACAAAGTGGCTTCGAGCTTCAGGAGTTTTAAAAGTGTTTTTCACTTGAAAATTGTTCCGCAAATGAGTGATGTTAAGAGCGACCAAGGCACCGCAGCTCTACGATCTTCCTTCAATCTGCTCCACCCCTCTGGGAGCTTATTAAGCTAGAATGCCGTGTTCTCCCCAGACCGACTGAAGCGGAAGTTCTGCGGCTGGGGTGGTGCCTAGGCAGCTGCATTTTAGCAAGCTCGTCTGCCCGGTCAAATGCACGCAACTGTTTGAGACCCACTTAGCCACAGCGAACACCAACACAAAGGAAGTGCTCTGGGTTTGATCAGAGCCTTCGCTTCCTCTGCTTAAGGTCTAGAACCTGAGACCTAAATGAATTTGGTTGACACCATCTCTGTGGCCGGTGGAATTCTGGGGAAGGTAGGCAGGGCCAAGTGGCTATCACTGCTGCTTCCCGCTGAACACCCGTGAGGGAAGTGGTGCAAACGCAACGGAAACCCAAGCCTCCTCCGGTCTGAGCGGGAAGGCTGAGGGCCACACTTGGGCAGGTGGCACTGGTAAGTTCTGTGGCTTAGCAGCCTTGCTGGACAGCTGCCACCGGTTCCAGTTCTAAGCTGGGCTGCTGAGGCTAAACTCACGTTTGTTGCACAGAGCTCCTATGAGAGCTCCCTTCTGAGTATGGGGGTGAGGGGAGTAGAGGAGTGGGGGGGTCTTCAGGCTTGGAAGAGAGGCAGCCTCGTGATCCCAAGTCCCCTCAATGCTGAAGTCATCCCATCCCTAACTGCTTTTGCACTCTTGCCTCAGGACTGCTGAGCAGAGCTCCCTAACAGGAAGCCCTGAGTGCATGGGGTGGCTACGAATGTGACCTTCAGAGCAATACTCCTCTCTTGAGTGTTTCACCCCTGAGACCACTGAGGAGGGCTAAGTCCAGAAAATGACAATGCTCTAGCCTGGGTGGGGGGAGATGCCAGATCTTTCTCTTTCATGCCCACTGCTCCCCTCCCCCTCCTGATGGCTCAAACCTCCCAGCTCTGTTGTATGTTTACTGTGTTTGGCTGGGGAAATCTATGGAGTAACAGAGGTGGCTCCAGCACTGCCCACAAAGCTGCAGCTTGGGTCTCCCTTGAGATAGCCCCTTCTAGGGCCATAGGCAGGGCTGCCTCTAGGGATGGCTGTCCACCTGAGCTCCCCGGGAGGGGCCCTGGTCATTGGGCCACCCACTGGTTGCCTGGGTCACTGTGAACCCTCTCACCCCCTGACTCCCACCCAGTGGCTGTGAGCACCCTGCCTTGCTCAGGATAATCAGAAGCCAGTTCAGATTTAAACCCCTTCCTCTACCCATAGTTCTAGAAGGAAAACCACAAATCCCTTGTATTTGCAGAATTCTCTCTGTTTTCCAAAGTGCTCTTTTAAGTCATTGGCTCATGACGACGATCACAGCAAGTCAGCAGCCCGCTTCCCATATTATGGAGCAAGACAAAATTACCAGAGGGGCCGACAGAAGTCACTGAGTTGGTAACCAGCCAAGATCCACACCACATCCAAACTTTGTTTTGCTAGCTCTGAGTTCCCACTATCTTACAGGGTTGATGCCTTTGTACAGCCCATCGGCAGGTGTTCTAGGCACAGATTTGTGACTGTTTGAGGCAAGTGTGGACCTCCCCAAAGAGCACTGCCAGGCACTTGTGAACAGAAGATTCAACCATCAAATGCAATTGGTAAATCAGTGTATATGACATAGTGCATATTAGACTACTACCAGCGCCAAAAGCCCTTCAGTGAGAAACAGAATGAATTCAGTTCAACCCGGAGTATCTAAAACTTGTTTGGCAACAGAGCCTTTCCCTCCACACAATGGTACAAACAAGCCACCAGATTTGAGGAGCCTCCCTGAAGAGGGTGAGCAAGGCTCCTTCACAATTACGATGACAAAGACATGAAGATGAGAGGCGGCAGCTTGTTTCTACACACAAAGAAAAGAAGAGAAAATTGCTGTGTCTTTCTCATGCCCCTCGCCCCATCATGGGGAGGAGTTCCAGGACCTCCCCTGGCCGGTGCTGCCACCTGCACGTCTCAGAATCCCCTCAGTGCCCCCAAATCCAGTGGTGTGCTGAAGTCAATTGTTAACATTTCAGAAACAGTGTGAGTCAGTTTCTAAATCATCAGGAGCTCAAAACTCACCATTGTGGGAGTATTTATTTATACCATAAAAATCAGCAAACACCAGAAATCAGAGTTCCCCCACCCTTCCCGAGGGCTGGTTTACCGGCGTACCACTGGCCCTGGGACACTTTTTGAAATTGTTAGAAAACTTGGGAGGGCTCTGACAGCTGAGCACTGGGGGAGATTGGACGTGGAAGTCCTTGCTCCAGCCCTCCTGGGTGAGAGGTGGGAACAGCACTGAATGGCAGTCTTCCAGCTACAACCCCAAATGAGTCAGAGAGTGCCTCTTGACCTGCTTACCTTGATATCTGTTACCAGCCAGTGTCTCCAGAATCTCTGTCTGGGTTCTGCTCTGCTAGGGGCATCTGGATCCACCATCACCAGGACATAGGTTGCACCCTGTAACACATGCACCAAAAAGTAATGTAGAGTCATGGCTGAAATAGGAAAATACCACCGGGCAGACCTCCTTTCTCTGCCATTCCAATCGAGCATGACTGAGTAGCCCTATGGCATCCCATCCAGTTTATCCTTGTTCGTGTGACATCCCTGTCACATCATGTTTATTCTCAGAGAAATGGCATCTGTGAAGCAGACAGCAGGACTCTTGGCTTCCCCTTTGTGAGGAAGAATAAATCCAACAAGTTATATGTACCAAGCACCTGGGAGCTCCGAGTGCTGTGCTGGGTGCCTTGGAGGAATCAAGGAAACCTGAAACAGGACTCTGGTTCTCCAAGAAGCATCCAGTGTAGGTGGAGTGACTTGCCTATTAATTTAACAAATATATGAGGACTTATTTTGTGTCAAGAACGGTACCCATCACAAAGAACACCAGGATTCATTCATCCCTTCAACAAGCCTTTGCTGAACACCTACTATGCACCAGGAGCTGCTCCAGGTGCCAGGAGGCAACAGAGCACAAGACAGTGAGGTCCATACTTTCAGGAAGCTTTTATTCTAGGTAAGGGACACAAATCATAAAAATAAATAAACAAGCAAGGGAACGTGTGAGTAGTGCTATGAAGAAAATAAAACAGGGTGGGATGAGAGGTGGGAAGTGTTCTGGAAGGAAAAAAATAGCTGCTATGAAGGTCTTCAGGCGGGAAAAAAGTAGGCTTTGAGGAGCAAGAAAGAGCATCATGGTGGCCAGGGACAATCAAGGGGGAGGGTAGACATGGCAGGTGGGGGAGGGGGCAGGGCCATGCCACAAGATGCTCTCTAGGCCTGGGTAGGGAGCTAGGTTTTAGTCAAAACGCAACACAGAACTGTTGCAGGGTTTTAGGCAGGACAGTGATATGCTCTGACTGACGTTTTTAGAGGATTCTTTTGGCTGCTGGGTAAAAAAATGAATGATCTGCAAAGGCCAGAGAGGAGGCCAGGAGACCTGTTAGGAGACTCGCAGTAGCATGTGAAAAAATGCTGGTATCTTGGGCTAGGATGGCAGCAACGGAGACAGAAACAAATAGATGGGTTAGGGGAGTATTTTGAGTAAAATCGGCAGGGTTTGCTGATGGATTCAATGGCAGGGCGGTAAGGAGGTGGGTGGAGAAAGAGAAATTGAGGATGAATCCTAGGTTTCTGACTTGAGCCACTGGGCCATTTAATGGCACAAATAAGACCTGGAGAGGAGGCTGTGTGAAGAAGGCATTCAGAGTTCTGGTTTAGACATCTTGAGTTTGAAATATCTCTCAGAAGACAATCAGGTATGCATGTCAGAGTCCGTAGTTCAGAGGAGAGATCAGGACTGGGTGAATAAATTCGGTAGTCATTGACATGGAGATGGTCTATAAATCAGTAGAGCAGACACAGAGAAGGAAAGAGGTCTCATGGCTGAACTCTAGAGCAGCTAACATTGAGAAGAGGGGAGAATCACGGAGAGAGGACCTTGGGGCCAAAAAGGTGGGGAGAACACCTGGAGAGTAGTTGTCACAAAAGCCAGGATAGAAAGTGTCTCAAGGAAGAGAAAGTGATCAGCTGTATCAAATTCTGCTAAAAGTTAGGGCCAGATGAGGACACGGATGTGACAATCTGATTTGTCAACTTGGATATCACTGTGACCACAAGACCAGTTTCAGTGGAGTAGAAAGGACTGATGCTTGGTTGGAACAGGCTGAGCTGAGATGGGAGATGAGGAATTAAAGATGGCTATTAAAGACGATCATAAAAAAGACTTCCTTGGTGGGAAGGACAGCTGAGATATGGAGTGGCTGTAACTAAAGAGGAAAGAAAAAGCAAGAGATTTTTTTTTTAAAAAAGAGAGGGATAATGTTTGTAGACCAATGGAAATGGTCCAGTATAGAAAGGGAGATAGAGGGGACAGAGAGGAGGAAGGGGGATGGTCACAAGAGCTGACTTTGGGAAGTGGGGATGGGACAGGATGCAGAGTGAAAGTGAGGGGCTAGGTCTTGGGTGGAAGCAGAGTGGGTTCAGATGCAAAAAACTGGAAGGTGAGATAGTGAGAGGAATGAGGAAATTGTTTTCCGATTGCTTCTATTTTTCAGTGAGTTAGAGGCAAGGTCACCAGGGGAAGAGGGATTATAGGAAGTTTGGGGTGAAACTCCATCTCTACTAAAAATACAAAAAATTAGCTGGGTATGGTGGCACACGCCTGTAGTCCCAGCTACTCGGGAGGCTGAGGCAGGAGAATTGCTTGAACCCAGGAGGCAGAGGTTGCAGTGAGCCAAGATTGCGCCACTGCACTCCAGCCTGGGTAACAAGAACGAAACTCCATCTCAAAAAAAAAAAAGGAAGTTTGGGGACAGAGAAGAAGGTGTGAGATAGTCATTTAAGAGAGTAAAAAAATGAATATACAATAGGTATGCAGTAGGTCACTAGACGGTGTTACATTTCACAGTTGTGGGCTTTTTAACTTTTCAAGTACAGGTGTGAGATACGTAGTTAGTTGGACTTACCTTGGATGGGGAGTTAGACGTGAGCCTGATGGAAGAGGGGGAAGTGGGAGAGGAAGAAGTGGGTAAGATGAATGGAGTAAACGGAGATGAGTCCTAGCCCTCCCATTGACAGGGAGAGGCAGGCACACCCTGTTGTTCTAAATGCTTGAGCAGAGGAGCATTTATCAAGCAGAAGGGACAGGGAAAAGGGAGACAATCTTTCTACCCCAGGAGTCCAGGGAGGCTGCAGAGTTGTCTTTTGAGCTTGACCTCGAAGGTCGAGCAGGTAAAGGATCAGGAAAAGTGCTCTCTAGTGCAGGCAATGGTGTGTGCAAAGGCAGGTGGGTGTTTGGGGAATGGCTGGGCCATAGGGCATCTGGAAAGAAACAGTAGGTGACAAAGCTGAAATGGGTATTGGGACCAGATAACAGAAAGCTCTGCACATCTTATGTTGCTTAGAATTTGTTATGTAATAGGACCCACTGAAATTGTTTGGATAGGTAACTCATATCATCAAACATGTTCTTTGGGGCTGGGCATGGTGGTTCACATCTGTAATACCAACACTTTGGGAGGCTGAGGTGGACGAATCGCTTGAGCCTAGGAGTTCAAGACCCACCTGGGTAATGTGGAAAAACCTTGTCTTTACAAAAATTGCAAAAGCTAGCCAGGCATGGTAGCCCACACCTATGATTCCAGCTACTAGAAAGGCTGGAGTGGGAGGATTGCTGGAGCCCAAGAGGCTGCAGTGAGCCATGACTGTACCACTGTACTCCAGCTCGGATGACAGAATGAGACCCTGTCTCAACAAACAAACAAAAAACAACACATATGCTTTGGAAAGACACATGATGGGGGTAGAATAAAGGATGAAAAGCAGAGCAAAAAATCCAAAAAACCCTGAAAATTGCAATACTCTGGAGAAAGACCACAGGGATTTCCATTCAAATAGTAGTAACAGAAAGGAGAGACGTGTATACTGCAGAACTAACAGTGAGGTGACTGGACAGGGCTGATGTCGGGGAGGAAGAAGCCAGGATGACTCTGAGATTCTGTCTTGGGCAGCTTGGTGATGATGAAGCCATGGATATTAGGGGTAGCAAAGTCAGGGGACCATGAGGCAGTGAGTTTGGTGTTGAACCCTACAGGGAGAGATGCCCTTTAAATGAGGTTAGCGCCCTCTCAAGACTTGGCAAATGGGCAGTGGACATGGAGAGGGACGAATCTGTAGATTCATGGGTTGTCTGGGGAGAATCTGTAGAGCATAAACAAAAGAAAGGCTGTGGTGGAACTTGGGAACTCAAAGCGGGGCAGGGAAGGGAGAAAGAGGCTGAGGAGAAGACAGTTCTGAAAAGAGCCGGAGAGTTAGTGTCATGGATGCCAAGAGAGAAATGAAGGAAGGGGTAAAGGTTGTGTCTGTATCCCAGTCAACAAGGGAGATGAAGGCCACAAAGAGACTTGGTTGTGACAAGGAGGGGATCACAGACACCTTTCCAAAGATGAGTAGTTTAAAGGTGAAAACATTGACTATTGGATTTTAAGACCCAGAGGAAGCCATAAACCACATACTAGATGCTACAGGAAATTCAATCAGAGAATGTGAAGATAAACCCAAGAAAATCTCCAAGGACTCAGAAGAAAAGAAAATAGTAGGTGAAAAGAAGGAATATGTCCTAAAGTGGGGGTGTGTGTAAAATCCCAATAGAATGCCATAAAGAGAAAACCGTACATAGTATCTGATACATCCAAGAAAGTAATAAGAAAATAAAAAGAAACAAAGTGTAAATATGGTAAAAGAAGAACTAAAGCCATATGTCCTCTCTCTTTTCCTTTCTTCTTCTTCTTTTTTTTTTTTTGAAAATGACATGATTGCTACATGAGAAATTAAAAAAAAATCAACTGGGAACAAAAGTAACATCTGGTAAAGTAAACTGTTACACAGTGTACACAAAGCTTGGATTTTCTACATATTAATAATAATCCAGAAGTATACATTTAAGGTCCCATTAACAATGGCAACAAAAAATGCAAAATAAGTAAGAATGAACTTGATGAAAAATTCAAGGTTATATGAAGAAAACAAAAACATTATTGATGCACATATGAAGGAAACTTGAATAGACAGAAAAAGAAATACAATGCTTTGAAACTGAAATAATCATTTTGTAAAGAAGTAAATAAACCTTCAATTAATTTGTTAATCTAGCACATTTCCAATCAAAATCCTAAATAGATGTTTTGTGAATGTCACAGAATAATTCTAAAGGTCATAATAAATGTAAAACACAAGTAAATAAAAGAAAAATAAGTATCCAAGGCAATATTCAAAATGGTAAAATAGGGATATTAATTTTTCAGGTATTAATGTATCTTATTAAGCTACAATAAGATCAATATTGTGTTAATAAATAAATAAGTAAAAGAAGCAAAACAGAAAACCCAGAAAGTCAAGTTTTCAATAAATGTATATTTAATATATGATAGTTATCATTTAAAATGCCATTTAAT